ACTATCGTTATGGCTACTGTTACTGCTATTGTTACTATCATTATGACTAATGTTACTGCTATTGTTACTATCGTTATGACTACTGTTACTGCTATTGTTACTATCGTTATGACTAATGTTACTACTATTGTTACTATCATTATGACTACTGTTACTGCTATTGTTACTATCGTTATGACTACTGTTACTACTTATTGTTACCATCGTTATGCTACGTTACTGCTATTGTTACTATCATTATGACTACTGTTACTATTGTTACTATCGTTATGACTAATGTTACTGCTATTGTTACTATCGTTATGGCTACTGTTACTGCTATTGTTACTATCGTTATGGCTACTGTTACTGCTATTGTTACTATCATTATGACTAATGTTACTGCTATTGTTACTATCGTTATAACTAAAGTTACTGCTATTGTTACTATCGTTATGGATAATGTTACTGCTATTGTTACTATCATTATGTCTACTGTTACTACTATTGTTACTATCGTTATGGCTACTGTTACTGCTATTGTTACTATCATTTTGACTACTGTTACTACTATTGTTACTATCGTTATGGCTACTACTACGTTACTGCTATTGTTACTATCGTTATGTTACTAATGTTACTGTTACTGCTATTGTTACTATCATTATGTCTACTGTTACTGCTATTGTTACTATCATTATGTCTAATGTTACTACTATTGTTACTATCGTTATGGCTACTGTTACTGCTATTGTTACTATCATTATGACTACTGTTACTACTATTGTTACTATCGTTATGGCTACTGTTACTACTATTGTTACTATCGTTATGGCTACTGTTACTACTATTGTTACTATCATTATGACTAATGTTACTACTATTGTTACTATCGTTATGACTAATGTTACTACTATTGTTACTATCATTATGTCTACTGTTACTACTATTGTTACTATCGTTATGGCTACTGTTACTGCTATTGTTACTATCATTATGACTAATGTTACTGCTATTGTTACTATCGTTATGACTAAAGCTACTGCTATTGTTACTATCGTTATGACTAATGTTACTGCTATTGTTAATATCGTTACAACTTGTCTACTGCGTGTTGTGGATGATGTGTCGGTTAATCACGACATGTGACACCGGAGAAAGAAATACGATGCTCATGTTGTCATTTACAATGTTGTAAACCGGGTTTATTTCAGGCGCCCGATCAGTGATTTACCATCAACATTAGCTTAATGGGAACACGCCTCGCGCTGTGTCAACAGCGACCTTCGATTATTGTATGATGTGTTTACTCTTCAATCAAGCACATATGATAAAACTATGTTTTACGAAATGTCACTTTGAAGTGATGACTTAATAAAGCATATGATTTCGACATCTACAACCACACCCCCAGCTACCACTACAGTTACAGCTTCAGATTGTATTTTGGTGGTCTTAACCCGATATCTGCAGCACGTATCTGGGAGAGGGTAATCTTATCATGTGGTCTCTATGGATGTAACGTATGGGGTAAACTTCCTCTTAAAAAGTATGAAATGCTTAAAGTTGTACAACGACAGTTTTGTAAAAAAGTTCAGGGACTACACACGCGCACTCCCAGTATTGTTGTATTGGATTGTATCGGTATCATGCCACTACAGTATTACATAGATAAAAGAGCCTCTACCTATTAGGAAAGTTATGTAATGCAAAGTTTAACTGTGTTTTTAAAGTAATGTTTCTAGTTCGCCCTAGTCAATTTATGTGTACAGATAGCTCTACATGCAATGTATAATAATATACGCTGCAACTTGTACATAAGTATATCCTGAACGATATACTAGCTAACTATGTCAATAATGGTCAGTTTTTCAATAAATCCAATGCCGCAATTATGATGCTATTAAATCTCATCTATTTTATGTTCATCTTAATTCAAGACTTAGTCTGTCAAGATATATCAATATAAGATCCAGTAATGAACACTATCTCTGGATGCTAGCCGCAGAGAAGAACGACCAGTTAACTGATATTGCAAGACTTGTATTCTATGGATCAGCTGAATTGTTTCAAGAGAAGGTTATTGTAAAACTGTCGCCAATCATATTGTAAAGCACGTGTGTATGTCATGTAAATGAACTTTTTAACTCCATATGTGATATTCTGGATGTAGAAACTTTTGTTAAGATATGGGATCAAGATGATGATGTTATTCTCGCATTTTTACTTGGTGGATGTCCAATAGAATGTATCATGGAACTAGAAAGAGATGTGTGGGCAAAAGTAATAATTAATGTAAGCCATTTTATAAGGAAATGGCGATACTTGCTAAAACACTTGTATGTATATGAACATTTGTGACTATATCACTAATGCATCTTCATCGTTTGACGTAAAATATATTATCACTGCATATTGTAATCTTCATTCAATTGGAGGAAATAAAGAATATCTATCTTTCTATCATCCCCCGATACAACTACAGTTACAGATACAACTAGAGATTATTTAAATTAAAAGTACACTGTACAGATAAAACTGCAAAGCTACACCCGCATCTACACTAAACGCCAAAAGAAACGTTACCCTCCTACCTTTATGAATTACTGAAAACTATCAAAGATATGTTAGAAGGTATTAGTTTACAAGAAAGCTTAACAACACAGCTTTATGCAAATCACGAAAAAAAATTCTCAAATTAATTCATATTTAGGTGAAATGCATCTTTTTCAGGAGAGTTAAATTGTCCCATATTCGTCCATGCCGAAATATACCAATAACAGTATTTTGATGCCCAAAAGAAAGGTTGAAATAAAATTCTGCTTTGGGACAATGATAAACCATTTAAAGTCACCATTTTTGAACTATTAAAACAAGACACAACTGTTGTAGAGTGTGTAAAATTGTAAAATAATCATTCCTATGATTTCAGTCATTTAAAACATTTTCTGCTGATTTGCATTAGTGAAAACAAGTAAAACGTGTCTTTGATATTGTGTAAAAATGTTTAGGAATATCTAAAATTATCTTTGTTAACATTTTTGCTTGCAAAGTAACATTTTTCCATTTTCTGTTTACACATAGCAAAATCAATCGCCAAAACGCAGCAATATTCAAGCAGTATTTGCATCCATTTCACATGTAGAATGATTCTGTAAGGTATGAAGAGAACCTAGAATACATGATATGATACACAAGTACCAGAAATATGCCACGATTAACAGCTGAAGAGAGAGAAAGAGCCATTGGGATGGTGCAGATGGGGTCGACATACAATGATGTTGCCAACGCCCTCGGATGCCACCGTATCACGGTTATAAGACTTATTCAGGGCTTCAGGCAGACTGGGGTCACCGTAGACAGACCAAGAAGTGGACGTCCACACATCACAACGCCAGTTGAAAATAGGTACCTCCGTCATTAAGGAAGGAGGGTAACGTTTCTTTGGCGTTTAGTGTATTATTACTGCTATATCTTCGACAACTATTGCAATTACAACTACACTTGATTAAACAACAGATAAAACTTAGACAACAGTTGCAACTAGACTACTACAACTTTAACTACTGTTACATCCACAGCTAGAACTGAATCTAAAGCCACGACTGCAACTACAATACAGACATACAGCCACTGACACGTCTACTGCAGCATTACAGAGACGAAAACACAGTCGTTGATGCATGCGACTACCATGACAACAAACACCAACAATAACACCATCATCATCAAAACCAGAAATTAAAGTGGTTTAAACAAAAGCGGATAAAAGTTGACTCACCTAAAAGTAGCTTCCTTAACCGCTAATTATAAAAAAATATGAGATACGAATTGTAAAATAAATAAAGATACTAACTCCAAGTATCAAAATAACGATATTGATAATCGTTAACTGAATATCGATTATTTATCGATAACTATCGGTGACGTAACTTTGAGCACAAATGATAAATATATCTAAAAGATAGGAATGTATTTCACATCACTGGTGAGTGGTCACTGTCTTTTGCATGGATTATTAACAAAACAATGTCCTGAACATAATTTAGAAGCAGACCATGAATAAAATCAAACATTTGTATATTGTGTGAGAAAATTAAACCTACTTTCTATCACAAAAGATAATGTATGATATTATCGATAACACAATTTTCATATCGATAATCATTAATAACCTTTCCTATCGACGATATTTACAATGATCGATCATTATAGCCAGCTCTAGATCGACGGTATTTACAATTATCGATCATTATAGCCAGCTCTAGATCGACGATATTTACAATGATCGATCATTATAGCCAGCTCTAGATCGACGATATTTACAATTATCGATCATTATAGCCAGCTCTAGATCGACGGTTGTCTAACGCCGCACTCTTCCTGCTCTGTGATGGCGTCTTCTAAATATTCCGCCCTGGACCAGTGATTGATATATGAACAAGGATTTACACCATCGTGTACGATGTCCTGCAACCAACTCTGCCACGGCGAGTCTGCTGTCAGACATTTTCACCCAGTCACTGTCATTCGTTGAAGACAAGATTGACTTCAAACAGTGAGACCGCCTAATCAGTTTCATATTTGTACATAGAGTTTCAGAGTAACATATATCTATCCACAAAAACGAATTACAAGAGGAATGACTCCAGCCTTTGGTGTTTAAATTCAACATCTGAGGTGAATAAAGCATGCTCCTTGCAGCCTCCTTCTATAAAGATTTCAAAGAGCGCCATATGACTGGTGCTCGAAGCTGCGTGATTACAACATTTAATGCCATTGTTAGCCTTCAAATACCTTCAAATCAAGCCGTCTATCTGACCAAAGTTATACATATTCATGATGCATTTATTGCGTCTCATATTCAGTGAAATTACACTGTCTTGCTGTGTTAATACACTTCTACAAATGTTATATATCCTATTTGCCTTGAATATTAATAGGATGTTGTCGTATGCAGTGACGTCACACAGGTGGTATAAAGCTGGCGGGGCGAACCCGACGGCCAGTGTCAACTCAGAAAGCCGAGGTAGAAGGTAGAGGCAGGAGGAACCACAAGGAGACCGTGAGTATAGCCGGCATTTCACACCCGCCACCTTTATGGTAGACCATGTCCTCAAGCATGTCCTATAGTTGAGTTTTTATTTCTTTATATGCTCCTTTAATCTCGTTTCATCAGTGATAAGCATGATTTGAATAATACAGAAATCACCACCTTTAATGGAGACCATATAATCCCTGGATGCCGATTTTTTCTGATTTTCATTTTCATAAAGTCTGAAAAGTGAACGTATTGCGAGAAATGAACTGTAATATATGTAATATCAGTGGTGCTGCATAGTTGACAGAGTACCAAGTTATTATTTCAGGTTTGTAATGAAACATGTATCATATAGACTCTTTAATTACCGCATTGCAAGTTATTTAGGACATCCACCACTCACTCCCTTTACTCCCTTTACACATTTGTATCACATCCAAGATGTGTGACCGAAGACACACGCTGATGGTTAACTAAGTGTTGCTTATAGGTCCAGAACAGCTTATTACATTCTAGTTTTTGTTTCCAATTAGAACGCCATCGCAACACAGAAAGCAACTATAAGTAACAATGGCTTTATCAACATAAATAATCAATTTAATATGCACTTCTTTCAAAACCAAGCACTACGTTAATGTGACTGTTTTAACAACCACTGACTGGCTCTGCTCGCCACTTTCAGTTCTTAATAGTGGAATATATTTCTCGCGAATCTCTCTGAAATCAGAGATGTGTTTAATTCATACTGCATTCTACAATATGTGCGTCGCGTTGGTCTTGTACAAATTGTTGTGTGAAATTTACTTCTTCAAGGTCGATATACAGAAAGTTTCTACCATGCACAATACGTTTTCCTATTTGAAATATGATATTAAAACTGAACGCAAGAAGTAAATGACAATTGGCAGGCGAAGTGTTGAGCGTACCCCGCCATCTACTCCTGGCAACGGCCCATGCCACGCCCTGAAGCCACGAAGCTCCATGACACAACGATTTAAGTTTCTCGGAGGTTTCAAATAACGCCACATGTACATTTATTACGCTGCAAATCGATATTGCCAACATACTGTGTTTACATAAATTCCACTAACTAACACTTTAGGAGGAAAGTAGGGGAGAACACGACACTTTGAAGCAGGAAAACACTTTGAAAGCCCAAACCATTACGTTATCAAGGAACAATCCGGCAGAGAAGTAGAACATTGCAAGGTGGTTTTGACAGATATTCCAGATATTCTGACACGAGAGAAATATGGTCTCTGGAGCTGGTCTTTTTTGTGTTAAGTCGCCACAGAAAGCCATGAGTTTAATTAACATAACTTTATCAGTGCTGAAAACCTAACGAAAAAAATATGTTCAATAATAATTTGTGCAGTAAAGGTGATTAAAAGGGAGACTAGTCTCCGGGGACTCAATTGTGCACAGTTTATTTAAACTGTTGAAACAACACAATCAATGGGCACAAGCTATACCAAGGTTTACCGGTGAACATATAGGGCATTTCATCCAAGTGTCTACTGATATCAATTATATCAACACGAGTTCATACAGTTACACATATTTTTACTTTTATCAACGAGTGTTGATATATTTGATATCAGAAGACACGAGGGTGAGATTCTATTTATCATCCCAAATCACTCTTCACGAGTCATCAAGTTATGACGTCATAGCATTGTCAGGGCATTATAGAAAATCTATTGTGAAAACGATATCTCCTAGGTTTGATCTCACACAAGCAATATTTCCAGTGGAACAGAGTTTTGGATGATAAACCCGTTTCATACGAGCAGAGATTTGTTAGATGTACCTACAGTACTGGAACACTCTGATAACGCGTATTTGAATTTGGAAAATGCTTTTATGCGACCTGACGAAAAACACGTAGTTAGGGCCGAAGTCATGCAATATTGCAAAAGTGTTGTCCTAGTTTGAAGACCCGTGAAGATCCGGGTTAGAACTGGTCTTCAGCAACCCATGCTTGTCGTAAGAGGCGACTAACGGGATCGGATGGTTAATCAGACTGACTTAGTTGACACATCCCATGCGTAAATCGATGCTCATGCTGTTAATCAGAGTTTTGAGTGCGGCGTTAAAAGACAAACATTTTGGTTTGAATCCTCCATCAAGTTTTTTCATATATGGTCATAACCTTCCAGTCACATTCTACTTATCTGGTCATAACCTTCCAGTCACATGCTACTTATCTGGTCATAACCTTCCAGTCACATGCTACTTATATGGTCATAACCTTCCAGTCACATGCTACTTATCTGGTCATAACCTTCCAGTCACATGCTACTTATCTGGTCATAACCTTCCAGTCACATGCTACTTATCTGGTCATAACCTTCCAGTCACATGCTACTTATCTGGTCATAACCTTCCAGTCACATGCTACTTATCTGGTCATAACCTTCCAGTCACATGCTACTTATCTGGTCATAACCTTCCAGTCACATGCTACTTATCAAGAGTCAAAATCCACAATGCGATTTTAACTTGTTCCAGTATTAAAGATATCCCTGTACAGTACACTTTACTTCCGCGCAGGCGCACACCGCCACACGACGGGAACCAGTAGGGTTGTATGTCTGTTAACGTCCTCCTGTCGAGAGGCTGGAAAATGCTCAACACATCCCACAAAGCCGGATGTCCGCTAGTCCAGAGCAACATACCACACACTTGTATATAGACCTCTACAGCTGGGACAGGACCCACACCGACGGCGGACCGACAGATAACCTGTATGCTTACGCTCACAGTAAAAGTTCAATCTGTTGACTTTTTCAGGAAACAATGACAACTTCGACTTCACTTCTCGGACTGTTAATTCTGGTTACGCTTGCAGGTGAGTCTAACATATTTTACTTAGTTCTAATAAATGGCGCATATATATTTAAAAGATCTTGGAAGAAACGATGTGTGTGTGTCATAATAAAACACGGTCGCAATCAATAGCCGCTACGTTTATTTACTGCAATTCATTAAACACGTTTATTTGGTTCATAAAATATCCACCCATAGAAAGTGTATTACTGCTATCAGTCCCCAGCGTTATGACAGTCAATAGTACTGTAATAGGTCATTTGTAATGTCTTGCCAGTGATGTACTGAATGTTCGAACAATATTGTTTATTAGAAGATCTTTCAACAGCTGTAAATATATGTTGTGTGTAAATATCTGTTGTGTGTAAATATCTGTTGTATATAACGGTGCGGGAAAAGGGACGGAATCGATATATCAACGGGCAATTTGTATAGCGTGTTTTAGTAAAAATATCCGGATATATCCAACACAGTATCAAATAATTAATATATGGATATTCGTTTCATAGCCGTTTATTTACTTATTTCAGTTAGTATATCTACCACGTAAAGAAAATTGAAAAACACAATACGTCATAAAACTACAGTTACTCACGGCACGACAGATTTACTAAAGTCGTATGACAAAAATCATGTGGTTCTTAACTTCTTGTGAGTAGTATACCCTTAAAGTTCACCCGACTGATTGTGATGCCATGTCCGATTTATAGCAATACAACATAGATATTTTTAACAAATATGTCACCACATTTATGTACAAATATCACACCAGCTTTCATTCACCAGCTATTGTAAAACTTTGAGTGATGTATTTGAGGAAGGGATATATCGATGTACTCAAGAGCCACGTGGTGGCATAAAACAAAATGGCTTCCGCAAATACATTACACGTGGAGCTTGTTTTCCGTCCAAATGTAAATAATAAAATTCATTATGCGGGTTTGGTAATGCAATTGTATGCTGTTTTTATCAATACTGGAATAACAAACGTTATATATACTACCTTGCCATTTGCTAGTTGGCGGACCATAAAAGGAATTCTGTTAGCGTTAAAGTACCCACGCGACTTAGTTTTGAAATCACGACTGCCTTATGTCATCTTGGACCTACTGAAGACTGAAATCAGTATTACTGTATAATGTTGTTTAAATAGTTGATTACAATGGGATGTTCATGATACCATCCTCTGTTAAACATAACATAGTTCACTTCATTAGGTAGGGAATATTGCTCAATACCACTATATGTTCAAATTATGATACATAGATTATCCTAAGGTATGGCCACTGTTGGTTATTCGACCAAATTATAATGATCATAACGATTACAAATCGCATATTGTTTTCCGATACATTTGCAGTCACCCAGTGTGTGGAATGTGGGATTTCCCAAACATCTGTATCCGCTCATGAACCATCGCACTTGATTTTAACGCATATTTGCCCACTACAGCCATACAAATACGAATTCGATGCCCATGGCCTAAATAGACATTCTCAGACCACAAACACTATGTGCTTTGGAAGATTATCAATGTTATGCGTCTGTCTAGTTTTAATCCCTCGTGGCGACGTGACGAGGCGTCGGACCCTGGTATCTAACGCATCAAAGTGCAGCTTAACCTTCGTTGCGACGAATTCTGGTTGTTGTAGGGCCAAACAACGTGTTAGGCAGGAACAACAACAACAACAACAATAATAATCACAATAAAACGGTTGGCAACAACGACCTTATGTTGTAGAGTTAAACAAGAACAACACCGACCTTCTCTAACAGTGTTGTTCAGGACCAACAATGACCGTAACTATATTTTTATTGAAGGACAATCACCGTCTTCACTATATTGTTAGACACCAACGTTGATGGGAGTAATCTTTCTGCGAAAAACCACAGGAGCACACAAACCCGTCGTTCATATGAAACGTATATACCATGAATATACATTCCTCTTTGGTCCTGATATGATTTTTTCATTTATCGTCGGGTTTATTTCAGGGAACTATGTGGGAGCCCAAACATCGTCCACCATTGTTCCTTCCCAGACAGTGTCAGTTGCTGCGTCCGAGACGTCAACAGTTGTGGCGTCGGCCAGCGTGACATCATCTTCATCAGTGTCAGCATCAGCATCAGCATCAGCATCAGCATCAGCCACTTCCACAACCTTGCCCACAACAACCACAACGGCTGGGTCGTCAGAGAAAACTTCCTCCACCATTCTGTTTTTCACAGTAACCATGGCGTCACTGTTATTCGTTGCCACCATTGCTATGTAATTACTTCATAATCCGTGGTATAATAGACGTCATTGTCGTCCCCGTCATTGTGAAATGGCATCTATATCTGCGATATGAATACAAGGGTATGTAAGCGAACACCACAGTGAATACTTTCAGTGCGGCGTCTCCGTGGACATGAAGATTGGTATGACGCCAGGCTGGTCGACTGATCCGATAAACACACTGACGCCATGACACCCCAGTGAATTCCCCGACGCCACAGATTACACGCCGAAATAAACATACACCACGTGATACCTTTGAAGACATACCTGATACCAAGACTGTTAAATGGTCTTGCAATCTTAATGCGAATTTAAATTAATCTTTATATATTTTTATACAGAAATAAAGAATATATTTCTATTGCTATATCGTCGTATGTTGCTTGTATATCCCAGGGGCGGTGGGGTAGCGTAGTACTTAAAGCGTTCGCTCGTCACGCCGAACACCCGGATTCGATTCCCCACATGGGTACAATGTGTGAGGCCCATTTCTGGTGTCCCCCGCCGTGATATTGCTGAAACATTGCTAAAAGCGGCGTAAAACGAACTCAATCGCAGAGACTCTCGAACAGTTCACTCGTAGAGCTTCATTGCAACAACCACCGGTTTACCTTGCTCAAACTCGTTAGGAGCATGGTACCGATGGGGCAACATAAAACCACTGGCCAATCTACAGCATTAAACCAATTTCAGTGCAATGATGTTCCCAGAAATATTATATATTCCACCTCCCTTATTCCGTACTATCGGAATCACGTGAGATGTGCGCATGCGCATTATCATCAGTTCGTTAGCGTGTTTACCTAGTCTTCGACGCAATTTCAAGAAGTTTTTCTAATTAGTTTTTGGCGACCAAACTACGTTTTCATCGGATTGTGAATATTCATCGTGTGTGGGACTACCTCGAGATTGGTTTGTGAGTTGTTGGAGCAGTTTCGACGGTTTTTCAGACTGTTGGAGAACTTGTTTGTTTGAGACCGATACGGCCACTGGTCGTGGTCAGTGACAATGGCGCAGCCGTCACATGAAATGTCTGATGACCAATTAGCTGGACAAAACAAACGCCAGAGTGAGAATGCTGGGTTCTTTGACATTGTGGACAATCTCACTGAGAAGTCCCAAGAGAAGATGACACGACCTCCACTGGAGGAAAGTCACAAAAATCCCTGAAGGGAAAAGGGAAACTTTGTAAGAGTGGAATGGTTGACCCAGATAAGAGGCAGCTGACAGATACCTAGTCTCTCGTACAGACCCTGAAGCAAATATATCCAAGAAAGCCCACACAAGTCTAGAAAATGAGGCAAGTCTCAGGGCTCCTTTTCATTATATAATTTTTTTTTTTACTATGACCTTTTTTCAGTATAATATGTTCATTTCAGAGACTAGTTGTTAGTCTAACAGATACCATGCAAGCGCTCCTCGCAGCCAACAGGGGCAGGCCGACACCATGGCAGAAATTAGGTCAGCGCTATCTATTCTTAGCACGGCCTTCAGTAAGGGACATGTCGGAGAGTCACGAGAGCAGCCGAGCGGTTCCGACTGTCAACAAGATGGCGGCGCCCATGATAGCGAGGATGACTCGTATGACAGCGAAGATTTCGACAATGTGGTATCCAAATGCCTCGATGCCGGCGCCGACGATACTGTGGCTGCCGAAGAAGAGAGAACGAAATGGAATCGTTTCTTGAAGAGATGAAGGACTTTTTTGGCAATGAAGACCAAACTGGCGATAAGATCAATGCTGACCTTGCCAAGTCAGTTGACCAAGGACTTTCGAAAGCGCCAAACATGGATAAGGTTAAGCCGCTTATGGACAAGTATAAACGGCCTTGTAACACCGAGTATTTGCTGGTACCAAAGACGGGAGTACTGCACTTTACCGGGCGCACTTTTTCAGATTTAATCAGCGCTGCTGGGGCTCGAACGCGCTCAGCAGGATTAGGGGGAATCCTGATGGGTGCTAATTACGCTAATTAGCCGACACGGTACCTTGGGACCACGGGTGCGATCACAGCCAACATGTGCTCGTTTAACGGGTCATTACCACAGTAGCACTGCTAGCACTGCGTATGTGCAATGGTTTGTTTTCATTTCTCGCGCATGCGCAGTGCTCAGTCTCCGCCTACCCATTCATCAACTCGAGAAGCCACACCTAGCTATTGTTATCAAGATGTCGCCCAACCAATCCGGAGAAGCTATGATTATGACGATGTTTATCGTCTGACTCTCGATTCGTCGGCTCTTGTCGACTGGCTGACTACCCGCGGGGTCATAGGTGACTTCGAAGGAGCCTGCCCCCGTTGTACTAGCGGTCAGCTGACTCGAAAAAAAGACTCAAGCTACGGTCGTGATGGTTTGGTCTGGCGATGCCGGGTCAAGACCTGCGGCCAGAAAGTTTCGATCCGGGAGGGGAGCTGGTTTTCCGGCTCTCATCTCACTCTGCCTCAACTGATGAAGCACCTGTATTACTGGGTCTACAAGACGCCTTCTCATGTAATCCAGCGGGAACTGAGGATCGGGTCGTGTCACACCCTGGTAGACTGGAACATGTTTTGCCGGGAAGTGTGCATGACAGTCATCGAGGCGGACAGTTCCAAGATCGGTGGCCCTGGAACCACGGTGGAAATTGACGAATCAAAGTTTGGCAAGAGGAAGTACCACCGTGGGAAAAGGGTCGAGGGTGTTTGGGTGCTTGGCGGCATTGAACGTGAAAGTCGGCAAGTGTTCCTCACCACCCTGACCGACCGAAGTGCGGACACCCTCATCTCCGCTATTGAGAAGCATGTGGCTAAGGGAACCACAATCATCACTGATTGTTGGAAGGCATACAACAAGCTTGGGAAGCTTGGCTACACCCACATGACTGTGAACCATAGTGAAAACTTTAAGGACCCAGAGACAGGTGCTCACACAAACACCATAGAATCAACGTGGCGAGCGGTGAAAAACACTGGACTACCTGGATCTGGGACCCAGAAAGCACTATACGATTCGTACTTTGTTGAGTACATTTTCTGGCGAAAATACTTGTCTAGTGCTCCGGACAAGTACCTCGCTTTCTTGGAGGCAGTGAAGCGAGTATATCCACCTACCCTTGATTGTGTGGTAGATCGCCTAGAACGAAAGCCCCTCGCTGAGAAGATGTAAAGCTTCTCGACGTGTTTCGTCCAAGAAAAAAACAGACAACAAGCGAAACACGTCTGCAGTTTCCTTTTGGAAACCAAGCTGCACTGACGAGTCCTGGTGGGACGAAACGTGTTTCAAAACCAATGGGATGCAAGGGAATTTACTCTGTTCAAAGGTAAGTTAGGATCGTAAAGTGGTGCCCAACCCTAACCCTAAACCCTAACCCTAAGGATCGTAAAGGGGTGCCCAACCCTAACCCTAACCCTAACCCTAAGGATCGTAAAGGGGTGCCCAACCCTAACCCTAAACCCTAACCCTAAGGATCGATGAATGACTGCGTTATAGTAAGACAGTGTAGTAGAGCTACAGAGCAGCCGCGCTATAGTGCGATGCGCACTGATTGCTCATTAGCGAGCTTTCTCCGCACGCCGGGCTGCGCCCAGTAAACTGCATTCTAGCCCCAAAGACGAACCCAGAAATTTGGCAAGAGGCAAAATCTCATACAAAGACAAGAGACTGCAAATTGCAGCATACCCAGGGGCTACTGGTCAAGGCCATTATCCCAGTTGTCAGCATGCTTGACTCCTTGTTGTCAGCAGTAGTAAATAAAACAGGCGTTGACGCAAAAGACCTGTTGGTGAAATCTAAAGACACTTTAAGACTCCTAGTGGCTGTACAGTCTGATGTCAATACAAAGAGGAAAGATATTTTCCGCTCAGATTTGCAAGGACCCTACAAAAAGTTGTGTTCAAATTCAACAAGAACCACCACTCTACTCTTTGGGGACGATTTGCCTAAGCAGATTAAGGAAATTTCCGACTCCAAAGAGTTAGGAAAGAAACTGAATGCTCCAGAAAAATACAAGAGCTCAGCTCAACCGTATCCTTCCACGTCTAGAGGACATTATCGCTTCAGGCCATATGGCCAGACACAGAGAGGCAAGTCCAGACCCTACCAACACAACTATGGCAGAGGTCGAACAAGCCCATCAACCCAGGGTGGTCAGACTGGTTTTTTATCCAAGCGACAATACCCAGGGAAAACAGACCGTAAGAAATTTTAACACCTGTTGACGAGACAAGCCCTCAGGTGGGATATCATGGTTTACAACCACTCATAAATACACCGGAAAAATTTTGGGCAGGAAATATCAGTGCTTATTTTGATAATTGGACAAAAATAACATCTGACTCTTGGGTTCTGTCTTGTGTGAAAGGTGCAGAGATAGAATTTTTGGATTATCCCTGTCAGACTCTGCATCCTAAACCTATCTGTTTCCAAGGTGGAGAGTAGGTTAAAGTGGATAACGAGGTATCCTCAATGTTACAAAGGGGAGTAATTGAAATGTGCTTTCATGAAGATGGGGAATTTATATCAAACATTTTCAGTAGAGAAAAGAAAGACAATTCCCTTCGTATCATCCTTAATTTGAAAACATTGAATAATGTTGATTCCTCCCACTTTAAAATGGATACTTTGAGATCTGCCCTACTCTTGGTTCAAAAGGATTGCTTTTTCGCTTCAGTAGATCTAAAGGATGCATATTTTTCCATCCCAGTTGCTAAAAAGGACAGAAAGTATCTGCGATTTGTTTGGGAAGGTCATCTGTACCAATTTACCTGTCTCCCAAATGGCCTTTCCTCAGCACCTAGACTATTTACAAAAATGTTGAAGCCAGTGTTTTCCTCCTTGCGTAAGCAAGGACATGCTAACACTGGATATATTGACGACTCAGAGCAACCTCCTCGTGGTGGGTGCTGGGTAACGCCAATGGCTCTTCGCCCCCGTGTGGACCCGGGGTGGAATAGGTCCACAGCACCCCATTGCTGGTCGTAAGAGGCGACCAAATTGGGCAACCCGTTTGCCGTGGGTTGCATCCCTGTGTCGGCAGAGGAAGGGAGTCTGGTGGTTGAGGATGACGGAACCGGCAATAGTGTTCAATAATCCAACACACCACTTCGACCCTAACTTTGCCTAGACGGGTGGTAGAATAGGCCCGATTCTACCAATCGGCTGGTCACGCCTTGCCCTGTGCATGGAATGTCTATACAAAATTTGGTATTACATAACACTTTTGACCATGTTCAAAATGTTAACAAATATTCTACCAAAACAAATTAGCCTCGCAGACCCATGCACAGAAGGCGGTGGCTCATGGGCAAATCTGGTGATGCTGACCTCCGATTTCTGTACGTCTCCAATTGATTGTCGTGGACAGAACCATCCTGACCTTTAATCTGGTAGGCAGCTACAGCATTTCATGTCAAATTCGCTGGAGTATAACACCCCCTTATCCCTGGTCTTTGCAGCTTGGAGACCCACTGCAGTATAAGATCGTCCTTGTTGACACTCCACGGTTGGTGGGGAGAGGGGATGCCGAACCACATTACTACCGACATGGCTTCCCAATACCCCGGTTCAAAACGAAGACACATGGATGATGACAACTCCTCGTCTGACGAGAGTACGCCCCTCCGACCTAACTACTGGCCACGTTTCCTGATCATTGAGGCTTGTGACAAGCAACCTTTGCAATTGAACCCTTTTGCAATCTCCAAAGGTATCGCTGGTATCTGCGGAGAGGTTGCCAATGTTACAAAGCTTAGATCTGGCTCTCTCCTGATAGAATGTACCCGGAAACACCAATCACTAAATCTCCTCAAAATACAAGAATTTGTAAATATCAAGGTCGCTGTCTCAGCACACAAAACACTTAACTCGTGTAGAGGCATTGTACGGGACAGAGCTCGATGCCTGTCTGACATGACTGAAGAACAAATTGTCAAGGAACTCTCTCAGCAATCCGTCACAGCCGTAAAACGATTCACCTTCAAAAAGGACGGTGTTGTTCAACCAACGAACACCTATCTCTTCACATTCGCGCGAGCAAACATTCCCGACTCTATTAAAGCTGGTTATTGTAGCATTGGTGTGGAGGTGTATGTCCCCAATCCACTCCGGTGCTACAACTGCCAAAAGTTCGGACATGGATCCAAGTCCTGTCGTTCCTCTGCTGTTTGTTCTCGCTGTGGTGACAAGCACGAGGGCAACGACTGTACTAAGGAAGTGAAGTGCACGAACTGCGGTGGTAACCATATGGCCTCTTCCAAGTTTTGCCCAGTGTGGAAACGCGAATCCGAGATCCTAAAGATCAAGCACAAAGAAAATATCTCCTTTCATGAAGCGAAGAAGAGGGTTGCAAGTTTAACTGCAGCCCCTTCAACCATCACCTACTCTTCTGCTGTCTCCCGTCCTTCTATCACTACTGCAACCATCTCATGTCAGACCGACCTGACATGGATCACGTCTTCTCAGCCAACTCAACTCAACACAAATGAGCCCATCTCAGCCACCCCATCTCCAACGCCAAAAGTCAAAACCTCTGAATCACAAACACCAGAACAAATGCCAAAACCAGAAACAGAAACTGCGCGCAGAAAAAGGGAAAAAAAGAGGCTAGAGAGACTAAAGCAACTTGAACAACCACCAAACACAAAACCAAAGGCCACCTCTCCCTCAGAGGTCCCCATCGAGGTCCATAACTCCTTTGGCCCTCTGGATATGGAGGTAGCTCCATTTCCACCAGACACCAATAGGAGTTCATCAAACGCTTTCTCACGTTCACGTGACATGTCACCAGTGGAAGCACCATGAATCCACAAAACATGATCCAATGGAATTGCAGAGGACTTAAGAATAATTATAATGAATTACAGTTATTGATTCAAGACTTCAAACCATCCGCGTTTTGTCTCCAAGAAACCTTCCTAAAAAGGACTGATAAATTTGACATCCGTCGGTACAGTTCCTACCACTCCTTTTCTCCTCCCGGTGTAAAAGCTACAGGAGGCACTTCTATCCTGGTGAGGCAGGGCATCCTCCATAGCCCTGTTCCACTTAACACCAACCTACAAACTGTTGCTGTCCGCATGACTCTGAACATAGGGTTTACACTATGTTCCCTCTATCTCCCTCCCACCTCAACTGTTCGCCTAACAGATCTTCAGAACTTATACGATCAACTCCCAAGGCCCTGCATAATCATGGGCGACTTCAACGGCCATAGTCCCCTATGGGGGAGTACTGATACAAATAGTAAGGGAAAGGTCCTTGAAGAGTTTCTCTCAAATAATGATGTATGCATCTTCAACGATGGATCAAACACCTACCTCCATCCTGCCACTGGATCATACTCTGCTCTCGATCTATCACTTACAGATTCTAATCTTTTAAATGAGTTTGAATGGTCGGTCCATGACGACCTTTGTGGAAGCGACCACTTCCCAACAATTCTTACTCCTATCAACCCCACGGACGAACCACCATCAACAAGATGGAATTTTACTAAGGCCAGTTGGCCTTTATTCCAAACCCTATGTTCAGAAAAACTTAAGCCGGACAAGTTCAGGAATGTTCCTGACCCCATGGAACTATTTTCAGACTTCCTAAATGCCATTGGAGACAAAAGTATTCCTAAGTCCTCTGCAAACCCACACATACGCAAACCATGGTTTGATACAAACTGCAAACAAGCTAGGAAAAATAGGAAGAAGGCGGAAAAATATTTCCGACAACATCCTACAGTGCATAACCTGAATGCTGTTAAAATGACAAATGCCAGGGCAAAACGTACCTTCAAACAAACTAAACGCCGGTCATGGAGGAAATATGTGTCTAAAATCAACTCCCGCACACCCATGTCCAAGGTGTGGAACATGATTCAAAAGATCAAGGGCAAAGGGTCAAAATCAGGAGTTCACCACGTGAAAGATGGTGACTCCCTTCTAACAAATAAATCTGAAATTGCAAACAAACTTGGCGAAACTTTGGCAAACCACTCCTCCTCATCAAATTATAACCCTCAGTTCCAGAAATACCAAACCCAACAAGAAAAGAAACCAGTCAATTTTAACTCTGATAATGGGGAGGATTACAACGAAACGTTTTCCCTCCATGAATTACGTACTGCCCTAGGACAGGCTCACGACACTGTGGCAGGAGCTGATGAAATCCATTATCAG